AGAGAGAGAGAGAGAGAGAGAGAGAGAGTGTGTCCTGGTGTGGCACTGTGGGATAATACACTGGATCACAAGGTTGGTTTGTACTGCAAGGTTGGCGGTTCAAATTTACCAGTTGCTCCTCGGAAACCCTATACAGGGTGGCTATGAGTAGGAACTAACTCAATGGCACTTAACAACAACAACAAAATATATACATATATATATAGCTCTGGTAGTGTAGTGGTTACGATCAGGCTGCAAACCACAAGGTCAGCAGTTCGAAACGATCAGCTGTTCTGCAGAAGAAAGATGAGGCTTTCTGCTCCTGTAAAGATTTATAGCCTCGGAAACCCTATGCAGGGTTGCTATGAGTCAGAACCGACTCCACGGCATATAACCACTATCTAGAGATAGTGGAAGGGGAGGGAGAGGGAGAGAGAGAATGGGTTATTATCAAGGAACTGGCGTAAATTGCAGAGTCCCAGGTCCCCAGCAAAACAGAGAGAGCCTTTCTCGTTTGTCCATTGTATTGGGAGCAGGCCACACCCCCAAGGAAGCATCCTTTCAGCTGATTGGCTGCTCATAGCTACTCATCAGCGTTAACTATGGCTGTATTAGGTTTCATCACCATGGGAATAAGCACATCCCAACAGCTAAGCCTCTGGAATCCTGGTCTAGTCAAGTTGACACAAAACCCTAACTTCTACACCTATTAACTACCTTTAGAAATGTGGTTTTGGTGAACACTTTTATGTGTGGAATGCCAGAAGAACAAACAAACTAGTCTTGGATGAAGGAGAGCCAAAATGCTCCTTGGAAGTGACTTTGTCTTGATTACAAGGGACGCATCATTGGAAGGGTCAATTGCTGGAGTACGATGTCAAGCTTGGTGAAGTCGCCGGTCAGTGACTAACAGGGAGACAGGCAAGGAAATGGATTCATAAAGTGGCTGCAGCAATGGGCTGAAACATAACAACACTTGTGAGGTGGGCACAGGACTGGGTAGTGTCTAGTTCTGGTGTACATTCGGTTATTAAGAGTCAGAGCTGACTCAGCAGCGCCTAACAACAACAAAGGCACATCCCAAATCCAAGCACCGTTTACTGTCTCCAGCGTTTCTCGCCAGGTCCAAGGTGTGACCATCTTAATTAGTCTTCTTTTACCGCCCTGCCCCATTACACACATGAGGAGAGGAGAGTGAGCCTTGTAAGACACAAGGCAGATTAAGTTACTCCTGGGCTCAAAACTGTCTACTAGTTTCCCAGCTGACTGAGACAAGACGTCAAAGTCTTCACCACGGGCTACAAGCCTGGGATTGATCTGACCTTCGATCTCTCCCTTGACCTTTGTAGACTACCGTTTTCCCACACTGCTCTGCTTGTTGGTCCTCAAACACAATCAGCACATGTCTGTCCTGTTCTTTGCACTGCCTGCGATGTTCTTGCCCCAGAAAGCAATAGCTCTTTCAGTCATTCCTGTTGGTTTCTGCTTAAATGTCCAATCATCCCACAGAGGATACAGCCTCCCAACTCCATTCCCAGCATCCTCTTCCCACCTGATCCCCACCCTCCAAGAGCATTTTTCAACATCTGAAATATTCTGTGATGAATGGTTTGTTTATCGCCATTCCACTGGAATGTACGCTCCCTAAAGCAGGAACTGTGCTGTACACAGAGGCTTCGGAAAGTTGGTGGGAACTGAGCAGTAGCCAGTCTGTCTGGGCGGGGCTGATGAAAGGAGATGGGGATGGGTCTCTTACGATACAATAGTGAATAATTGTTATCAGGACTGACTGTGAGGGTTGGAAATGTAAAGGTAGATGTTTTATAGCAAAAGGAGGGGAATGGTTGACTTTGCAGTCCAGGAGCAGAGGTCCTTGGGACCATCAAGGGAGAAATGAGGAGTGTGGGACCCTATCCAGAGAAGCAGTGATACTGGGGATGGAGGCAGAGACAATGACGTGGAGAGACGGAGTGGCTTGGGACTCTAGACACAGAGAGGGAGAGGGGCTGTGTGCTGAGGACCAGGGGGCACGCTTGCAACCCTTTGGCTGGTTGATGATGCATGGAGGGGATTGTAGCCATGGCAATGAAATGATATACTATAGGATGAATGTAAAGCTAATGTTCTCCCATGTAAAATATCACATAATTCACAATAAAGCGTTTTTTAAAAACCCCACAAAACTGGTGGGAAAATGGAATGAAAGGATAACAGCATTCTTCCATGGACTTTCTGAAGCCCATTTGTGTTTGATTGCATCCCTTACACCTACTCCTGGTACGTGGTCGACACATGATCAGTGTTTGTTTCATCATGAAAGGCAATCCGTCCTTTTCTTTATTATTCCGAGGTTGGTGGATGTTATTGCTGTTGTTGTTAAGTGCCATCGAGTCAGTTCCGACTCACAGCGACCCTGTATAAGATTTCCGAGGTGGGTTGGAACTGCTGAGCCTCTGGTTAGTGGTCTAATGCATATCCTACAGTACCACACCAGGACTCCAAGTACAAGTTCTTCATCGTGGGAAAGAAGTAGTTATGGCCTGCTTCCATATTTCCTTCATACTTTTCAGTGGCATCTAGACGTAATCAAACACCTTTTTCATTTCCACATTAGAAAGACGCACCTTAAAATAAGTGTGTAAGATTCCTCCTTCCATTCCATACTGCAGTCCAGCCACAACCACATAAGTTGCAAATTTTTTCATCTATTAAATGAAATTGAGAAAAAGTGCAGTGTTATTAAAGATATTAGAGCAGGATATGTTTAGGGGTTTCATCAGCTCTGTTAGGTTACTACAGTTTAGGATAGACATAGTCTCCCCCTAAAGGACGGAGGGCAGCATTGTGTTCTCTTGTGCGTGGCCTCTCGATGAGTCAGGGCTGACCCAGCAGCACGGAACACCAAGGGTAACAACCGAGTAGAACACTGTGAATCAGGCCTGCCTCTGACCCCTACTGACCTGTGAGGTGGGGCACTGGAGTCATCTGAAAGGGACTTTGAAAGCCGAAAACTGAAACCCAAGGCTAAATAAATATACTGCCATTGCATCAATTCCAATTCACAGCGACACTGCATAGGGCTTCTGAGACTAAACATTTACAGAAGTAGACAGCCTCATCTTCCTTCCTTGTAGCAGCTAGTGGATTTGAACCACCCACGTGGTAGGTAACCCAATGCCTAACCCACAGTGCCAGTAGGGCTTCTTTTGAAAGGTAAAACCCACAATAAAAGGACAAGCTGGAAAAAAAATCTCATCCTCAGCTCTGTGCCAGAGTGCCTGGTAGATACCAGGATCTAAGCCGGTATTTGTTGAATGAATTCTGATTTCTAAGGTTCCATCTACATGGTGGGGCTCTGGTGTGGCGCTGTCAGAACAGCACTGGCCTGCAAACCACAAGGTCGGCAGTTCAAACCCACCAGGTGCTCTTTGAAAACCCTGTATGGGGCCACTATGAGTTGGAAGTGACTGGACAGCACTTAACAACATCTACGTGATGGAAAACACAGGGTACGCATGGAATCCCTGTGGTACTCAGAGTGATGGGACCAACCTCATCTTCTGAATTTTAACCATCCAAAAGAGGGATTATGAAAGCTGGGGTGAGTTAGGGAAGGAGGAAGGGAATACATTTTACAAGGAAAACTTGATTGTATCATTTAGAGTATGTTGTTGTTGTTATGTGCTGTGGAGCTGGTTCTGACTCATAGCGACCCTGTACAGGGTTTCTGAGGCTCTAAATCTTTACGGGAGCAGAAAGCCTCATCTTTCTCCCATGGAACAGCTGGTAGTTTCGAACTGCTGACCTTGTGGTTCACAGCCCGATTCTGGTAGCGTAGTGGTTACGAATCGGGCTGCGAACCTTAAGGCCAGCAGTTCGAAACTACCAGCCGCTCTAGGGGAGAAAGATGAGGCGTTCTGCTCCCGTAAAGATTTACAGCCTCGGAAACCCTGTACAGGGTCGCTATGGGTTGGAACCGACTCGACGGCACTTAACAACAACAACAACGCTACCAGAGCTCCTTCAGTTAGAGTACAGGACTTAATAAATGGTTTTATAACAAAAAAATATTAAGATGGTAATACTTCATCATTTTAGACTCGTTCACTTACCATTTTTATTTGTCACCTGATATTTCTCAACCCATGAGTTAGATACAAATGATCAACAAATCAGGATCTTTTTTCCTATTTGGGGCAATATTCAAAATTCAATGAAATAATACAGTTCTGAAAATTACAGTTCTGGTGTAGAGCTGTAGAATAAGCCCTGGACTGCTAACCACAAGGTTGGTGGTTCAAACCCACCAGCTGCTCCTTGGAAATCCTATATAGGGTCGCTACGAATCAAACCGACTTGGCAACACACAAAATAACAACAGAGACTGGAACTGGGAGGCATTCACACCATCTGGTCTGGCACCTTGATGCTATGTATTTAGTTTAATTCTACAAATTTAACAACTCGGGTATGCAAGGGGGCTCTTGTATGCTAGCTAGTGGATTCTGACTGCCCCTTGGGGTTTCTCTGTTGTTGTTGGAGCAGCTGGTGGGTTTGAACTGCTGACCTTGCCAAGGTTATCTGTCTGATGCTTATCCCACAGCACCACACCAGGACTCCAGGTTTCCCAGGCCAAGTCTTTTCTCCCTTGGAGGGACTGGAGGATTTGAACTGCCGATCCTTTGGTTAGTAGCCAAGCTCTTAGCCATTTTAACCTGCAGTGATCCTTATTCAAAAGAGGATGGAATCCCCAATCCTAACAGTTTTCCACTCAAAGCGTTTGTATTGACAAGTGTTCTGTGTAGAATAGAAGTATATGGGAACTTCCAAGTTCCTCTGAGTCCACTAGGTGTCGCCCTAGAAGTAAGATTTCATAACACTTCCTGTCAGCCTTCTAATGGGCAAAGGGTAACGGGAGAGAGAAGGTTCCCCACCCTGGAACCTGCAGTGCAGGGCCTGCCATTGGAAACAGAACCACTTCCCAATCTCTCCACAGGGTGGTCAGACCCACTGCAGAGCATGATGTTGGCCAAAGATGGCTAGGTCCTTTCTGAAGTGGGGATTCTGAGTCTGTTTCTCTGCTTTGACCAAGAACCCAACACCTCTCATGAATTTCTGAGAACATATGACACTCTAAATTCTGATTCTAAATCAGGATAACTTATTAAGATCCTTTGAAATGCTTAGCGATTTGACAGAAACAAAACCATATAACAAAATGACTGTGTACTTCCTGTCTCATGTGAGTCTCTTGTCTAGAATTCCTTTTCTATCCAGGAAAACTGCTCTTCTGTAAAACAAAGTTCAAGGGTCAACTGTGCTACGTACTACTCCCTGGACAGAACGTTACTGAGAGGGAGCCAGTGGTGTCTAGGAGCTTCCACCATCTGCTCAGATCCTTTACAATACTCATTGGGAGCCCTGGTAGAGCAGCGGGTTAAGCAATGGTTAACTAACCAAAAGGTTGATGGTTCAATCTATCAGCTGCTCTGTGGGAGAAAGATGAGGATGCTACTTCTTGGAAACCCACTGAGGCAGGCTCACTCTGTCTCCAGCATCTCTAAGAGTTGGAATTGACTTGATGACAGTTGCTTTGTGTGTGTGTGTGTGTGTGTTTAATGAAGTCCCTGGGTTCTACAAAGGCTGAAGAATGTGCTAGGCTATGAGTTGGAGGTTCAAATGCACCCAAAGTGCCTCAGAAGACAGTCTTGGTAATCTGCTTCCACAGGGCCACAGTCTTGAAAACTTTATGGAACAGTTCTACTTGGGACATGTGGAGTCGCCAAGAGCTGGGGTGGACTTGCCAGCAACTAACACACATTATAAAGAGTCCTGGTGTGGTGCTGTGGGTTAATGCACTGGACTGCAAAGTCGGTTTGAACCACAAGGTCCATGGTTCAAGCTCACCAGCTGCTCCTCGGAAATCCTATACAGGGTCGCTATGGGTTGGAACAGATTCAATGGCACTTAATAACAACAACAACAACACATTATAGAGATGCTGTTCATATGTCTGCCAGCTCACCAGGGCAGGGGCTTCTCTGGAGACAGACAGGGGTAATGTCTGATTTACTTAAAAACCTCTCCAGGCAGCTCTCATGTGTGAGATGGCGATGTGCAACCTGCAACGCTTTCCAACTTTGTGGAGAAACAAACACCAGAGGATGAGATCCGTGTTGTGTTCCCTGTAAGCAGCTCTGCTTTTTCAGGGCAGGAGCAGCACTGGACTGTGAACCAAAAGGTCAGCAGTTCAAACCCACCATCTGCTCCTTGGAAACCCTATACAGAGTCATTATGGGTTGGGACTGACTTGACAGGACTTAACAACAACAAAAAAGGCAAAAGAAGATGACAGGTATCTAAGACATAATTCCAGCTTATTAAACTTGGTCAGATTCCCACTGCATCATTTTCATCTTGTCTAGATGGGTGGGGTGAAAGTCTATGGGGGAGGATAGGGATAGGATTTCTTTGATTCAATAGTTAATAACTATTAACACGTCTAACAGAAGATGTGGAACAAAAAGCAGGAAGTAGTTAATCTTTCATTCTAGGAACAGACAACCCTAGGACCATCAAGAGGGAAGAACATGAGCGGAATGTGGAGTCCTAACCAGAGCTACACCACCACCAGAGATGGAGGCGGAGGTGAGGGCATGAGAGAGAGAGAGCAGCTGAGGACTCTAGACCCATGGAAAGAGAAAGGCTGTGTGCCATTGGGCAGGAGGCTGGCTTGCAAAACGTGCCCTTTGGTCGTTTAAAGGAATACATATTTTCCATGAGTTTTGTGTATATATATATATAGATAGATAGATAGATAGATAGATAGATAGATAGATAGATAGATATAGATATATAAATTGGGAATAGAGGTAAATACTGTTAACCGATGGTGCATGGAGGGGATTGTAATCATTGCGGTCAAACAAAGTATGATTGGTTGAGTGTAAAGCTGATTATATGCCCTGTAAACGATCACTCAATTCACAATAAAAACTTAAAAACTAAAAACCTCCATCAAGTAACCTATGGTATTCTGCGTGTGTCCTAGTGGAGATGGGAAAAAGCACTGTTACAGACTCCGAGGCTGGACCCGAGGTGGGCCCAGGGCCTCAGTGGGCGTGGCTGGGAGGAAAGGGACCACAGAGGGAGGGGGCTGAGGGGTTGAGCTGATATGTACAAAGCAAAGGAAACATGTCCTGCCCTGCAGGTTGTTGCCTTTCAGGGCCTTCTGACTCACAGAGGCCTTACAGGACACACAGAACTGCCCCACAGGGTGACCTCAGTGCTAATCTCTTGCCGCTGGAGGAAAGTGGCCACCTTTTGATTAACCCCTAGGGCTCCTTCCTGCATTCCTCAACAATAGTGCAGCTACTGCTTTGTCTGGAGCGGAATCAGGTTCTACTTACGTTTTTCCCAAATTTGAGGACCATCTTTTCAGCATTGATGTGATCCACAAAATTAGGGTGGTGCTTCCTTCTTCGATAATCCTCCTCAGTAAACGGAATCTCGTTGTCCTCCTATGGGAGAGAAGGCCAGGTGAGGTGCGTTGGTCAGTGTGCACGGTGACCAAGTAAAGCTTATGACGACTGCTTATTTTAAAGGTGATTTTATTTTCTTGAAAATGCTTTAGCGAGCCAAATTTTATCATCTAAACTTAATCTAAACAACACGAACAGTTTAAATATGTTTTTGGATCTTGTACTTGTTGTCACTAATTTCAGCATAAAATAACCCATTTTCCCTTCTCTTTTTGGGGAGTAACAAAACAGGTTCCAGAACGTTTGCCATTTCTACACTCTTCATGTGCTGGCTTAATTCTCGTGCGGCTCAAACATCGCCATTCCCCACTCCCAAGTTTCCCCACACCCTTCACCATTTTTTAATAGTCCTTGCAACGTATGGAGTTTCATTTCTTAATGTAAATTGTAGGTTTCTGCTCTTTACCACACTGCCCCTCCATTAAAAACCTGGAGTCCTGGTGTGGCACTGTAGGATAAGCACTGCTTACCACATGGCCGGGTTCAAACCCACTAGCTGCTGCTTGGAAACCCTATAGAGGGTCACTTGCATCGGAGCTGACTCCACACATGGAATAATGTCACAGTGATCCTACAGGCCACGGAAGAACAGCCACCGTGAGCTTTCCAAGGCTGACAATTTTTACAGAAGTAGATTGCCACACGGTTCTCCGGTCAAGTAGCATTCTTGCCATCTAATTAATTCCAACTCATAGAGACCCTGTATATAGTTTTCAAGGAGCGGCTGGTATGTTTGAACTGCCGACCTTGTGGTTAGCAGTTCAGTGCTTATCTCATAACTCATACCAGGACCCTGAGTATTTAGTGTCTAAATATAGTGTCATCAGCTCTGTCTTCAGGAGGAACCAAGTGCCCAGTATCTCTGTAGTCCTGGCTGACATGACTTGGGGGCCAATGTACCTAAGTGACCCTCCTGCTGGGCGCCCAGCACTGGAACACTGCCCCCAGCTCCTAGTGCCCATTTAAGACTCTGCTGCCAGGCCTGGTGTGCCCTGGGCTCTGCCCGGCCTCTGGCCAGCTGTGTGCCTGTCAGTCCACCCCCTCTCCTGGGCTTGGCTTCACCCTCAGGCCTCAGGGCGACATTCCATTAGGCTTCTCTGGGAACCAGTCTTTTGTTATTGTATTTCTTTTGTCTTAGTTCTTAGTTTTCATGATTGTTCTCTGTACTTTTTTTAAAAATTGTGGTAACTACATGAGGGTGTTTCAAAAAGTTTGTGAGGAAAATGGAATTAAAAGACAACAGAATTTTTCCAGGAACTTTTCGAAGTCCCTTTGAAATTCAACTTGATGACAATGGGCTTGCTCTGGGTTTTGGTATGCATGTAACAAAACATTTGACGTTGCAACTATCTTCACATGGACAGTTCAGGGACATTAGCCATGTTCAGGTTGCTATTCACCATTACCCTGATCCACTCCCAGATATTCCCATAATCCCCTGAGTCATCCCCTCCCACGCCCTCCCGCCACCCCTGGTGACAACCCTGGACCTCTGGTCTTTGTACTTTTCTCTGGCCACAGGTTTTGACAGCCAGCCTCTTCCCTGGCATTCTGGAACCAGGGCTGAGAGAAAAGGTGGGCCAAGCCAGTGTCCTCTGGGTAGTCCCTGTAGTTCACAAATGGGATGTAGCTAGAGCAGCTAGCTCGACGGTGGTTCTTAATTGGGACTGAGGCCTAACTGCACATTAGGGCCTGTCTCTCTCTGTCCTTAAATGTCACTCATTACATCAACAATAGATATATTTAAGCCCCACTTTCATATGGACTCCTGGTATGGCGCTGTAGGATCAGCAGTTCAAACCCACCAGCTGCTCCTCGAAAACCCTGTACAAGGTGGCTAGGAGTTGGAACTGACTCAACAACACTTAACAACAACAACCTTTCATACAGCTTTCAGTTCCTGGCAATACACTTTTCCAGGAAGTGATGAGATATTGATCTTTGGTTGTATTGTGTGTCATCAAATCAACTCCTACTCCTAGCTACCGCAGGTGACAGTAGACCTGCCCCAGGGTTTGCTAGGCTGCCTCTTCAGCAGCACAGGTGACCAGCTCCCTGTCCTCTGGAGTGGCTGGTGGATTCAAACTGCTGACCTATAGTGGGTGGAATGGAGCCGGCGGTCTATCCCGTCGAAGGAGTCCTTGTGGCACAGTGGTTAAGCATCGGGCTGCTAATCAAAATGATGGTGGTTAGAACCCATCAGCTGCTCTATTTGCAGAAAGATTCACAGGCTCGCAGTGCGATGGGGCAGCTCTGCGCTGTCCTGTAGGGTCACTCGGTGTGGAATGGACCCGACAGCAGTGGGGTTTGGTCTCCGTTATTATATATTGGTGTCTCTTTGCAGAACTGGAAGTTCACTTCCTTAGAGCTGACTGACTGCTTTTGGGTCACCTTATTACAATGAACAGGCTCCTATAGGAGATGGCACCCGTGCCCTTTTTAGGACATGGGGTAGCACTCTGCTGGACCCTCTTTATCCCGCAATGTTTGACCCAGTGTGGCTCACCAGCCCAACCCTTCCAGGCTATGATGTGTGACAACCAGAGACAACAGTCCTACTCATTCTAAGCTATTTGATTGAGTCATAATCACCTCTGGTCACCCTCCTACTCACACCTACAGAAACAAAGTAGTAGCTATTGTTGTTGTTATTGTTAAGTGCCATCAAGTCAGCTCTGACCCTTAGTAACCCTGTATAGGGTTTCCGAGGAGCAGCTGGTGAGCTTGAACCGCCAACCTTGTAGTTCAAAACGGCTTTGCAGTTGGGCGTATTAACCCACAGAGCCACATCAGGACTTCATGTTAAAACAAAACCACAAAACCATGTATTTTTAGATTCTTTTACTTACTCAGTTCCTTTAGTGTAGTGCAGTCCTGGTGTGGCCCTGTGGGTTAATACGCTGGACTGCAAAGTCGATTTGAACTGCATGGATGGCGGTTTAAGCTCATCAGCTGCTATACAGGGCTGCCATGAGTTGGAAGTGACTCGACGGCACCCAACAACAACTAAAGTATAGTTCACAGGTCACCCTGGTGGCAGAGATGGTTAAGCGTAAAGCTGCTAACGAAAAGGCAAGTGCTTTGGACCCACTGGCCTCTCTTGGACAGAAAGATGAGGTAATCTGGTTCCGTGAAGATTTACCGCCATCGCCTCGGCACAAGTCAGAACTGACATGACAGCAGGGAACTTTGAGTCTGTACAGTTCGTGTTGCTGGGGATGCAGTTAGCTGTAGTAACAGGAAACTCAAGAAGGCATGAACACTGAGGAAACCCATGCACACTCCACAGTAGGGAACACCAGGCCATGTATGACAGGTTTGGGGTTCTCCTTCTCTGTGTGCCCCCCAACACAAACACATCAGCCTCATAGCAAGACTGTCATTGGCGGTTCTGAGTCACATCCAGGCATGACAACATTTTCATGGGCCTGGGTTCTTCCCACACGGATCCTTTGTGATGCTTTCTCCCAGTCAGAAAGCTCGACACAGCTGTGGACAGTGGTCCTTGAAGCCACTCTGGAAGGTGGCCAAGTCACATCATGGCAGAAGCCTGGGTCTCCAATGGTAATGGGGAGGCAACTCACTTGTTCATCAAAAACACCTATTTTACCTTTACCGTGAGCAAGACATGAACTCTTCGCATGCTATGGCATTCTACCTTTTAGGACCTGTTGGTTACATCCTTGCATCCCAGAACTGAGTTGCATGCATACCCCCTAGCTAGCTGCTGGCTGGAAATGGGACCGTCAAGACTGGTTTGGGTCAGTCCCTTGGAGGTGGTGATAGTCTCCCGGCCGGAGTCTCCCAAACAGTGTAGTGTGAACACTTGGACACATCAGGGCTGTGCCTGCAAGGAAGGCAGACGGATGGACCAGTAGTGTCCAGGACAATCTAATAGAGACCAAACAGGACAGACCAGTGAACGTTACAAGAAAAGCACGCCAGACCCCTGCTCCCAAGACAATTAAACATGTAAATGTCACTTGATGCCTTAAGTGAAATACATTGGGTGGTGGCGTGCCATCGAGTCAGTTCCGACTCAGTGACCCTGTCTGTATAGGGTTTACGAGACTGTAAATCTTAACAGGAGCAGAAAGCCCCATCTTTGTCCCATGGAGCAACTGGTAGATTCGAGCTGCTGACCTTGAGGTATCGGTCCCACATATAACCCACTCTGCTATTAGGGCTCCTGTGTTCTTATGAGAAAGAATGGATTAAGAGCTTCCACGATGTACTTCTTGGTTCACATTTTAACATTCCCTCACAATGTGTTATGTTATTGATGTAGACATTTGCTCTGCTCTCTGTGACCCCAGGCAGGAAAAGGCCCCAGTGAC